GATCATCCTGGATAACCGTCCTGATGGATCCACCTGCTTGGAGCCCGTCCTTGTTTTTTTAAGCTCACATTAGCTCTGGCCTCCCCAGTTGCCCGTGGCTGCACAGTGAGTGCCATGGCTTAGTAGTGGTCAGTGCGGGAAAGAACTTGATTTTGTTCATGCTCATTTTCCGGGACTCTGTTCAAGACACAGGAGGCCCACTGTTCAAAGGTGCAGCTCTCAGTGAGTTTTGTTTGTGCGAGCTAATATTTGTGAAAATTAATCTCTAGGAGAACAATTACTGACTGCCTTGTGTCCTCTGTAGTCATTTACCAGGTATGAAATGTAAGTCCAAAAGACAGGAGAGGCCGTGCAAGAAACAGCATTTGTAATTCACATTGCATATGTTTAGCTGCTTACCCAACATACGACACAATAAGAAATAAAATTTGGGCTGTCTCAAAGGCATATCCTATCCAGTAGACCTATTGAAAAGGACGACATTTCAGTGTACTGAGGAGAATAAAGAAAGGTGCAACTAGGTACCTGAGTCCCAGAGAGACCACGCTTGATTTTCCCATACTTTTATACATCTCATGCATGGAGGCAGAACCCAGACAAAACAAACCCCCCAAATCCCACAGCTCCCACCCAGCAAAATCCCCTCCGGATGACAGCAAAGCGGTGGGAAGAGCAAGCGCCGTGCTACTCCCCCATGACCTGGACAGACCTCCTGATCTCCAAGGCCGGGTGTAACGGGGCGGTTTTGGCTCTTCCCCGTAGGTGGTAGCCGTACCGGGTCGCCGGCCCCATGGGGACGGGAAGCTGCCACGCGACCTGCGACAGAGAAGCTGCAGCCCGACCAGGGTGACCTCCTCCGGGTCCTGTACAGCGCAGACGAGGTGCGGGGCTTGGGCACAGCCAAGGGCGCTGCCCGGCACGGTGAGTCCACAGAAATGGCTTTATTCCTCCATGGCTTCACAACATTTTTGGATAATGGAGGCTTCCAGTTTGCAGAGAAGCAGGGGCTTTGTTGTGTACCTGAAGGATACTTCCGTACTTAAAATGTCCAGTGGATTTAATAAGATAATGACGGTGGCCTTGCAGAGCTCTCATTTTATTCAGTCATAAACATTCCCTTTCCAAAGGCTGACAATATTTTAGAGATGATAGATTGCGTATTACTGAGTTTGCCTGAGTCATCTTATTATATAATATCCCTGCTTAGAACTTGCCAGAACATAATCATTTGGGATGAAATTTTAGATTCTGGATGTCAGCCACAGATCTGACTTTGTTGTTTTCAACCAAAACTTTTCCAGCATATTTGTGAGAGCCCGTGAAGGAAAAATAGAGTTTGCCAATACAAAACCAAGGAAATGAGTAAACATAAACAGACTGGTCATTCAGCTCCTTCAGCGCTGGTGTGTTATGTTTGGAAGTTCGAAGCTGGAGCAGGGCCGTGCAGTTTGGCAAGGGGTAGCCTTTTAATCAAAAAAAGCATCTTTTGCTTTCTCTTGAAAAAACATCTAGATGCAGTCAAGACAAGCCTTTGAGAAAGTCCCAGATGGCCCATGTTTGGTAAGGACATTGGACATTTAGCTGTTAGAAGATGCTGAATCTGTAAAGCAGGTGCTACCGTGAAGGTGCGTGTTCTGCACACCACCGGTCTGCAACTGCGCTGCTCATGAGCCATCCCGTTTGGATGCAGACCAGACGAGAGCGGGGCCTGGGAAACTGGGAAGCAACAAACTGAGCTTGAGACTGTCAGGAAAGATCTCAAACCAAGACTAGAGCCAAGAAGTGGCTGAACAAAGAGCTGGGGCTTCAGGGCTGGAATGGGGGAAGAGCAGGAGGAGTGGCTGGGACTGGCTGCAGGGTAGCGGGTGGCAGAGAGCCAGTGGGGAGAGAGGAGGGACTGCTGGTCTCTGCTGTTAGGGGCAGCAAGAGGTAAAGGATGGCAGAGAGGTGCGAACAGGAGAAAGGATACAGGAATCCGAAAAGAAGAGCAGAAAAGGGGGAAACAGTTCTCATAAGGGGAGAAAGGGAAGCGACTGGCCAAAGAAACTGGGATGCTGAATGGGAAAGAGGGAGAAATTAAGGCTGAATTAGAACAAAAGAGAGACAAAAGGAACTGACTGAGGAGCAAGGGAGAGGGAGCAAGGAGAGCAGGAGAGGAGAAATTCACCAGGAGCATCTGGACAAGACAAGAGAGCTCCTCCAGGGCTGCCTCAGCTTGTGCAGTGTGGCGAGGCCGCTCGTCGCATCCCTGTCCTTCCCAGCACAGAAGGTGCTCAGGGGCTGTGGCAGTGCACCTCCCGCAGCAGCTCCTGAAGTTCTGTCCCTCGCTGCTGCCAGGCTCCTCGGTGACTCTGGGCACCTCGCACAGCTGACGTAGCCCCCCCTTTTCTGGGTGCCAGCTTCACACCTCTGACTGCAACACCTGGGAGCGCTCAGTTCCTCCTGCGCTAAAAACTGTGCTGTGACTGTGAACAATGCTGTGCCCTCCTCAAAACTCTGGAAAACTGGACCCCAGGAGCTTCTGAGCTTAAACTCAGTCCCTACCTCTGTTTCCTGGGAATAACTCCTTGTCCTCCAGGAGGTGATGAAGCTGGTTTTTTAAAGCATTTCTGCAGATGATGACCACAGTGATCAGCAACACAGAAAAGCCTGTAAAAATATTAATAGTTCTGTCCTCAGAAGGTTCACTGGTGGGGAAAGTAGGTGTAGGGCTGTGTACTGAACAATAAAAGCTAAGGATGAACAACTGCCTTCTGAGTGAACACTGTCTATAGGAATGAAGCAGAAAGTTTGTGGAGAAATAGGTTTTGGTCACAAATTAGAGACTGAATCTTAATGTCTAGGCCCTTGGGGGATGAAATAACTTAGGTCCAGTTCTGGTGTTTCATAACTTCTGAGTGTCTGACTTTACAGATTTAACATTTTAAAGGAAGGAAAGTAGAAGCATTTACAAATAGTTTTACAAAAATAAAAATAGCTCTTTGCTATGATATGCTGCAGTATCCAGATTCAGCACGCACTGCACTAATAATACCTACAGAGAGAATAGAGTGCCATGAGAAAGTCCAAAGAGGTTCCTCCAGCTGTCTCTCAACAATTGGAGAGCCAGTATAATGTGATATAAAGTGAAGTATATATATTTGTCCCTGGACATACATCATCTGTTTTCATTCATCTCAGTATAAATGTGACCTCCACATAAATTTCACCCTTCAAAAACATCCTTCAGCTTCCTTACTGGAAATAGTTGTGTCTGTAGTGTTTTCCATGCTTGCTCCATAGACAAGTACTGTTGAATATTAGGAGACTTCAGACTTGGTAAAGCACAACTTGAAATCTGAGTAACAGAATGAACAGTTCAACTTCCAGAGGCAGTGAAAAACGTGTAAACAAGAGCTTAGATGAGAGCGTCAGCATACTTACTGCTAGCATTGGAAACCCTATACAAAAGTCAATGCATAAGGACAGTCCACTACAACATGCAGGGCGGTGAGTAAGTGTAGTAGGAGGCCAGAACAAGAAACCTCTGACTGCACTCAAAGCTGTGCTTTGCTTCACAGGGCGGATATATTTTTTTTTAAAAATGCACTTATTCTCCAGGAAAGAAGTACTCAGTTTTGTACCAAGTTTTTGTACATTTTTACAAGTACTTACCTTGGAAACATGCGGCAAATCAGAATAAAAGGCATGAAGCAACCTTCCTCGCAGGCTTGGGCATCCATAGCACCTGCTGGAAGTGGAATTCACACCACAGCCAGCCACCACTGTCCTGAGGAGCACTTACAAACCTGAGACCATCAGGACTTACTTTTGCTTACATATTTTGCTAAAAGTTTGCCAGGACATTTTCTGTATATAGTAAGGTGAGGGACAGGCTGAAAGGGAGAATCAGAAAACACAAGATCAAACAAATTTAAAAAAAAGATAAAATATGGATATTAGCTGAAGCACTGATGCCTGGAGCCACTTGCTGAATACTGTTAGTACCTAATATGCAAGATGAGAGGAGGTAATTGAATTAAACTTTGACATGAGGGATACAGTTAGGTACCTAACAGAATTACTGGGAGGGGCCGTGGAGTGGGAAGAGAGAGGCTGGTGTAAGGTATTTATCACGGTCAGATATTGCCCCCAGAAGGACAAGACATTTCTGACTGTGAACTCATGCTAGAGACAGCACTATAAGCAGCACCTTGGCTATTTCTGATGTTTGCTGTCATTATTTGTGTTCCGTTGGTCACAGCAGTTGTGAATCATAGTGTATCCTCTGCCTTGGTGAATCCTGGTACTTCTGTAGATCCTTGCTCTTCACTTACCTGAATACCCTTTTGAAAAACAGCAGACAACTGAAAATGGCCAGGAACAGAAAGAAAGAAGGAAAAATGAGATCCACCTTCCCACAATGATTTGGCTCCATGAGAAAAACTCTGGAATCCCTTCTGTATTTATTGCCTCAGCAGAGCTAGCAGGAACGTCAGTAAGCATCCGTCCATGAGTGGATAAGCTATGGGCTGAGTGCTCGCTTGTAATGGAAGGGTAACCTCCAGGTTTGAGGACAGCAGAGAGAGGTGCCGCTCAGCCATGGGCAGACAGAAAGGTTAAATTCCCTCCCTGTGGCAGGGTGGATGTAGCACAAATCTCTGCCCGGGTAAGAACAACTCCCTCGGACAATACAGAAATGAGAGTGATTTCCTGTGCAGGATAAACCTGGCAGTGGGGGCTTCAAAGCGCACAAAAACTGCGTTACCCAACCTCTGCTGAGGAGCAGCAGACAGGACCGCTCTTTTTACACACATATACATGAGTATATGTATATAAAGGGGAGGGGGATGGCTCCCACTTAACTTGGCCAGCTAAGGGCAGCTCATCATCTCATTTGAAAAGTCTAGGAGCAAGCAGCTGAGTGACTTTCCAGAATGACTTAAGCACTTCTTTTGACAAGACAGTAGATGATCATAATAAAGAAGCTTCTGCACTTTTGGCTGTAATCAAATCTAGTGGGACCATAACCTGAATCTGGGCTCTGTTCATATCTGGGTTTAGCTGCGTGGAAGGAGACTTTTAGTGTGAGCTGTGCCAATGGGATAATTACCAATAATGCCATGTTTCTTATGCTTTGCAGGGGGAATTACTGAACGAGAGTCATCCAAGTCCTGTAACCATCTGCTGGATGGAAAATCTTTGGTAAGTAAATTCAGCAAGACCAATTACCACTCTTTGATGTATCTTAAAACCTCATATCTGTCAACGTCTCCCACATTAACAGCATGTCAGTCTGTCACAGTGCATGCAGATTTCACGGCCTTCATTAAGGCTTTGAGACATGATTTATGCCAGAGGATCCTTAGCTTTTTAAGTCCCTGGATTTTATAAAAACTAGATTTTCAAACAGATAATAGTTCTTTGAAAAGCTTCTGACCAACACCAGACCATACTATAAAAACTTTATGGCTTCAAATTCTCTTTTGGATGGCTGCAATATACTCGCTAGCTGGTATCTGGGCTACACTCAAGAAAAATGAGAGTAAAATATTGCAGGATGGTTAAAATCAATGGTATCCAGTGTAATTAATTGCATCTACCAATAATTAACCTGGTTAAAATTCAAAGTATGCTTGCAAAAGGGATTTCAAACATCTTTAAGTCTTGAAATACTCGCAGAGCACACCTAAACATATCCAGCCTCAGACTAATCCCAGCGGACAGCTTAAGACCAGTTATAGTAGTGACAATAACATAAAGGAATTTTTCACTATTGCCAGTAAAATCAGTAAGTGCATTTATTACCTGAAATGATGAGAGCACATCACAATTTTTGACATTTTTTTCTATTTCTCGGCAACCTGCACTTTACCTTACCATCCTGAAGGATATGCCAGTCTCAGCGGCCTCTTGATGGGAAAACGTGACTCAGTTCCGGCGGGCTTTTTATGATCAAATAAATCAAGGAGGAAGTCGATGATCAGGTGCTTGTGGGGCCGTGGCAGACCTGGGGCATGAACCAGGGCCCCTTGAGCACCCAGCAAAATGGGGAAACATTTCCAAAGGCTCAAGATGTGGGGACGGCCGGGACGACTGCTTCCCGGCCAGCGGCAGAGGTGGCCTGTGGAGAGGGGCAGCAGGCAGGCTGCTCAGCCTGCACACAGCCTCGCCTCCTTGGGAAGCTGGACATAAAAACTAGGGAATAAAAAGGTCTGCAAGCCTCCCTCCTTCAATGGGAGGTGTAATTCGTGCTCACACGAGCCCTGTGCTGAGCTCAGTGAGACCATTCACGCGAGCAGACAGCATTTGTGTGGGTCAGAGCTGGGCAATCAAGTCCTTAACCTGCTTTCTCTTGTTAAGAGATTTACAGTATCGATTCATTTTCCTAAAACAGCTTCTCTCCTCAGACAAACCTCAGGTCCTCACCTGTCAGCGGCATTTCCTAATGGAGTGCTTTTTCCTCCCTCAGTTCCCACCGTCGCCGGTTGCCCACATCACAGTGAAAGCGGCAGCGGCCGGCACCGACTCGCCCACGGGTGACGGCAGTCCTACGGATGAGTAAGTCCCTTCCCAGCCCTCCAGCCGAGCCTGGGGGCTGCACACCAGGCAGGGGAGGGGACGGGGACGGGGCACCTCTGCCACGGGTCACCCGCTCACCAGAAATGCAAAGTGCTTGGCCACAGATCTCCTCTAAATCACAGCTGTAAAACCTCGGTGACTTACAGTACAGCCGTGCCGCCGCTTCCCAGAGGCAGAGAGAGCGCGGCTACAGGACATGCTGACGGTATCATCAGTCAGGGCTGTTTGTACAGATGCCCCGGTACCAGTTACAGCTCTGTTTTATCACTAGGAAAAAAGCATCTAAACTCAAAATTGAAGCATTTTCCCCCTAAAAAGTCTATATTTGCCCTAGGGCAGCTTAGAAAAATGTAATTATGTGTTTTTTTTAAACAAAGCTTTATTGTCTTTAAGTGTAATTAAGGAACAGCTTGACCATAGTACAAATGCACTCCTCAGCAGGCAGTTAGCCCAGACACAGATACGGGTGATATTTGCGATGCCGCCATTGCCACCCAAGGGACAGTAACAAGCCCACTGTCACAGTGCCCTCGCACTCCGTACTCAAGACATAAGTCCCATCAAGCCGGTGTAAGTCAGCATAGCCCCCTAGGCCAGGTGGAGCCCACCTGGCCTGGGCGATGCCGCACCATCCCCAGGGCTTTGGTGGAAGGGCTTGTCTCTGTCCCTGAGCCACCCACCAGTTTCTTCTCAGGTGGTAAATGCTGCAGAAGATGCCCTTAATAACAGTCCCACTTGTCATCCATCCCCTCGCGTGAGCATTCACCCTGACAGCAAGTGGATGAGGGGCTCCAAGGGGAGCCGGGGCAGCCACAGCACCCCAGCCCACAGCCCCGGCACAGCTCCTGCTCACCCTGGACTCTCCAGTCCCAGGCACAAACACACCTTTGCAAATGGGCAGCCCTTGGTTTTCAGTGGCCGGTTGTCGTGAGCAGGGACGCAGGGCCACGGAGACAAATGCTTTACGTGTCTGTGCTTTGCTCGCTAGCCACAGACAGCGCTGGAGGAAGACGGCAGAGTATGACCTGAGCCTGCCACCGGGAGCAGAAGCTTCCCTACCACTGACGGGAGGCAACCTCTGCGGGACACCCAGCCTCCTGAGGAAGATGTGGATGAAGCACAAGAAGAAGTCCGAGTACCTGGGGGCAACAAACAGTGCCTTCGAGGCGGACTGATAAGGCTCAGCATCACTTGGAAAGACAGAAGGTCCTTTAACCAGGACAAGGTGCTCTAGGATCGATGAGGGAACAGACACAGCACAGCTCATCCAGAAAAACAATATCCTTTTTATTACTTGATGCCATTGCCTCAGAACCATGGGAGAAAGGCTAACTGAGGTGACAAGATGCAACTCACTGGCCTTTCTTTGTTGCGACACACTAAAATTCCAAGTATCCCACTAGATTTTCATCTGGACTTACTGATGCTGAAACTACTGCTGGCCCATTCACTATTTTACATGTCCTGTCTGAATCAGCTCGGACTCACGAAAAGAAAAGCCTACCAAGAGGTTTGTGTATTCCTGCAAGGCAACAGATCGGTTACAGAGTGCCATCGAATCGCAGGGGTCTGCTCGTTGCATGTTACTGCTTGTCCTCTTCCCCTTCTCATATCATGAGATAAAACCCACTTATTATGATATGCTTGGTTGAATGACATATGCTAAACATCTGTTTTTCTTCAGTTTTGATGTTTCAAGACAGGAGCAAAAGGTGTAAAATTTTAAAAGAATAGGTGAGAACTGAGCAAGTTCACAAACATACATTTACCAAACTTTGCTACATGACAAGTGATCGGTGTTTCCAAGTGCCCTGCCAGATCAAACTATGAGCAACTGGATGACCTCAGGAGATACTTTCTTCCATAGAACCTGCTTACATGTTAACGAATAGTCAGCAGCTTACTCTCTACCCACGTAGTACAGGATATTTCACTAAGTGCACAAAATACTAGGAGGAAAGAAAATATATAAATGATGCAACTAGGTGATTGAACATGAGATTTTTGCATGTAGGAGACCTGTGCTTATGGATAGATGGATTTAATGGAATTTGCTCAAAAATTTTTCTCAAACTTTTTTTCAGTTTAGAAATTGCTCGTCATGGCCCCTTGGGTTTTCCTCTCAAAAAAAGAAAAACAAACCAAAACAGTTTTACCAAAAAGGTTTCACCAGTGTTACAGACAATGTTATCTTAGTCATGAACAGTACTTGCCTCATATGCATGCTCCCCTAGTTATTATAAAAGACTTTGGTTTGCCTAAACACAGAACTTTAAATACAAAATTGGAGGAAGTGTATCTCCTGTTGCTCACAGTAATGAGGACCTTCTCTAACTGTCAGTGCTCCAAAGCACAAAAGAGAAATAAAGGTCTTACTCCATGACAGAAGCAGAGGAAAGAAGCTCCCATCTGAAACTTGCTTGCCTGCAGCCAGCGTAGTGAAGCACAGTGCGATGCCATCATAGACAGTGCCACGGTACTGCGGGGAGGAGGCCCCAGATCAGGAACCCACCAAAGGTCTGAACCATACATCGGCAGTAACTTAGTGGCGGTTACAGCTTCTTCCGCGCCTACCACAACCACCTGGGCAACTTCTGCACTTGGGGTACCTGCTGACCAACCACTGCTTATGTTAAGATCATCTTCAACCTGGGCTTAGAAAAAAGCGTATTCTGAATTTCTTCCACAGTTCAGGACTGAGGGAGCCTTGGATTACCGCCAGCAGAGCTGCAGGCTTGGGCGGTTGTCCCTGGTCAGGAGTCATCAGGAGGGAAATGTCCCCTGGCCTTGGAGTGAGCCCGGTGGAGCAGCACATGGGAACGGTTTGCAGCTCAACGACGTGAGCAGTGAAAGTCCATGGGGCATGAAAACTAGTAGCTTTACAGAGCATGTGTTCCCAGGGCTCCAAGGAGGGCAGCGGGGGTCACCTGCGTGGGGCTGGACGTGCTGGAGGAGGCAGCAGGATGGGGAAGGAAGTTCTCATTTAAAAGGTGCTGTGGCATTTCATGCGGCCAGAGCCAACCCAGTCCGGAGTCTGCCAAGGAGAGGAGAGGCACTAGGCCTTCACAAAAGATCTCCGTCAGCCCTCACATTCCGCTGTCCGTCACAGGCTTCTCCTTCAGAGGTGCTCAGCAGCCCACAGAGGACAGCCTTGCAGCTTGAAATTACATAGACTCTCCCCTCTCCTTAGCAAAGGTAGAAGCCTTCCTCTGGTCCAGCAGCCTGGCAGAGAGATGATTTGCTGTCCTGCTTTTCTTTCTTCCTCTGGGGAAAGAAGGAGAACACAGCTCCTCATTAACCACATGCTGAAAGGCCCTAGCTGCTGGCAAGGCAGAGGAGAAGAGGAGGTGGTGGCCCAGCATTGACCATGTGTCACCAGCCACAGCACACACGAGCAATGCCGATGCCCACTGAGGGCTGCACAGCTGAACAGCACCAGAGCAGTTTTCTCACAAGGGTCCACCCTACCTTTAAATTAGAGCTTGACACATCATTGCCCTTGTGTGATAGTTCAGACACCACAACCAGCGTGGACAACAACCCTGCCAACACCAGGTCCTCTATGACTGAACCAAGCTGGACTCATGCCAAGATTTTCCTGAAACATTTTTTACATCTTTTACAAATATCACCAACCACACTACATCTCCCCTCCCCAGCCCGCAGAAATCCTACCAGAAGCCTTGGCCTGTACGCACGTGCTGCTTCCACATGTACAGATAAGCCTCGTACACTCAGCGGGACTGCCTTCTTGCACAGCAACGGACACGTTCAAGGAGTAAGCAGAATAGTAATCACCAATTCCCTTTTTTGGTCTCGTTCCCTAAGCAGAGCAAAAATAAAAAAGATGGACAGACACTGGGAAAAGTCCATTGGCTGTATCTGGGGTAATTCAGACGGTGAGCAATTGTGGTACCTGCCCTGGTAGTGAACTTGACCCACAGAGCACCCAACGCACAGTCCAGAGCAGCAAGGGTTTTGTCTCTTGAGAAAGCTGTGTCGTAGTATTTCATGTGTTAATTAATAGCTTTAAGCAGTATGACGATGGAGGAGGAGAGAGTTAATGTTTCTATTGCTGTATTTTTAAATGTGTATTTAAGGCTTTCTTATTTAATTTATAATTTGGATCTACAGGAGAAGGAGAGATTTACAAGAAGTGTGTTTCCTTTCTCTGTATTCCAGGAACTGCTGTGGAAATTTCTTATATTGTAGTAGATACTCATTTCATTGATTCACAGAAAATATGTCCTATTCATAAGAAAAAATAAAAGAAACAGGTAGCATGTGGTAACATATGGGTCTCGATGACTTTAAAGCTTTTGGGAAGCATTCAGTGGAAAGTGTAGGCAGGATCTGTGATACTGAAGAACATGAATACCTGATGACAAAGAACCCAAATTTTGCTCCCCACAGGGAGAGCCTGGAAGTGTGTGTTTGCGAGCGGCTCCAATATTTCACGAGTGGCAGAACAATTTGCGCTCAGATACTCAGAGAACAGCCCTAGTGCTGCCAGCAGTTGGACATTAGGTATGTGTTTACACACCTGACCTCAAGGGCATTCGGGACACGACATTTATTCTCACTGTGTCCCCGGGAGGTGAGCAGCGTCACTTCCCTCCCACCAAATCAGAGCTCCAAGACAGAGACTCCTCAAGGGTAGTTAAGGCTCTGGTAGAGAATAACGCCAAGTGCTCCCCATCTTTGGCCCTACCAGTTGACAACAAAGTGACTCAACTTGCCTCAAACACTACACCATCTTTGGAGACCCTGTGCTGAACCTCGGCCCAATCCGCCGTGGGTCGCACCGGGATGCAGGACCCCAGGCTTGGGGAGCTGGCTCCGGGTGGCAAGGGGACAGTCTTTAAGATACAAGGAAAGAAAACATGTGGTGTTGGCATCCATCACCACCCAGGACTTTGGAAAGCCCGTCCGAGGAGGATGGCTTGTCCCCCGGCCTGCCGCGCTGCCCATACCCCACGCAGCTCTGCTAAAAATGTGCCACATTTCTGGTCCTTCCATTACAGACAGTGTCTACGTCTAAAATGAGCAACTAGGGAGTGTCCTCTCAACCAGTGTCCACACTGCAGCACTTGGCACAGATTTTTTCCGGGACGTGGGAGAAAACCCTGGCCTCTGCTGGAAACTCCTCTGTGAATACCCGTCCTTTAGTCACGCATTAAAAATATCAGCATGACTATGGAAGAGGATGTGGACATGCAATACATTTTCCAGATGAAAATGTACAGAAAGCAATGCTGGGTCAGCTCCAGCGCACCGTCAGAAAAATGGGAAATAGTGATTAAAAACATAAGTGAACTGCACCATTTTTTCCATCAAAGACAGAAAAGATATTAACTGTGCAGCTGAAAGCATTGTCCTGGCACTGCCTGACACGTGCATGCTGTCATACTTCATAACATCTGTGAGAAGATGCATTTTTCAGACGTGTTTCATGACATTTTTCAATTTTGGGTTCCCTGGAACTAGAGACTTACTGGGGTACCCACCTGACCGAAATAGCCTGCACGATGACAGTTCACCACACTTACAGTAATTTATATTTCATTTCCAAATAAAGGTTTCTAATTTCTTCTCACCATTTCAAAAACATCTTTGTGACAGAGCTACTCATTAAAATACCCATCATTCCTTTGCATACCACTTTATTTAAATAAACTGTAGTGAATTTAAAGCTAGGCTACTATACAAAATAATCCCTACTGATGCATGAAAAAAAAAATCTCATATATGCTTTGCCCACCTTTCTTCCTCTTTTACGCTCACTTTGCTGATCCTGTAGCAAACAGGGCTGCCAGAAGAGCTGACCACAGACACATCGCTGCTTGGGGGGAATACTACACACTTTTTACAGAAAATGTCTTTAACTCAAACATCGGCATTTGCAGAATAATTTCACATCTGAGAGTTACCCAGCCAGAAAAGTTGTGATATCAGGACTTGCACACACACACAAACAAAACTGAAACAAGGCAGATTCCTCAGAGGAAACCCCTGCTCAGAAAGTCGTATGCGAACTCTACAAACAATGCAGATGTCAAATAGCCATAAATACTTTACGAGAGATTTTTAAAACCTCAGCATTAACTCCATAGATTACTCACAAGTTAGCAGCTCGACCCTACCTGGTATTGAAATTTTTTTTTTTAAGTGGCAT